CATGGTGCGGAAGTGGTTGTTGCGGAAGAAGACGCTGAGCTCCCCCTCCTTGACGGCCCCCGTGAGCTCACAGAGCCCGTGGTAGCTCAGCTGCGAGGCCGTGGACTCCAGGAACTGCTCTGCCACCAGCCCTGGAAAAGGGGGGGCCCAGCGGGGCTGGGGTGACCAGCACCCCCCCGGCCAGCAGAGCAGGGCAGGGGGGGCCGTTACCTTCGCTCACCAGGCTGGAGTCACTCGCCTGTTTGCAGGTGATGATCTTCTCCACCAGTTGGTTGTAGCTGAGCTTGCCCACGGCCTGGACCACCTCCGGGCTCTGCAGGGAGGGGACAGTGAGCACCAGCTCTGGCAACCCGTGGCAGCTAAGGGGGGGGTTGGACCTTCCCCCCAACCAGCTGGAGCACAGAAGCTGAGCTGGGGGCTTCCACCATAGGGAAGGACCCGTGATGGAAGGGTCTGGGTTGGAAGGGACCTGCAGAGATCGTCCAGTCCAACGTCCTGCCGTGGGCAGGGACATCATCCACTAGGTCAGGTCCAAAGCCCCATCCATAGCATCACAGAAGGGTTTGGAAAGGACCTTCTACTGGACCAGGTTGCTCCAACCTGGCCTTGAGAGTTCCCAACAATGGACCAACTTCTCTTGGCAACATGCTCCAGTGCCCCACCACCCTCACCATAAAATACTTCTTCATGTCCCATCTACAGGGACACAAGAACTTTATGTCCAGTTTAAAACCGTTGTCCCTCATCCCCTCACTAAGGTAAAAACCTTCTCTCCATCTTTCCTGGAGTCCCTCCTACACCTTGAAGCTCTTCTTGCTCCTCTTCTCCAGGATGAACCACCCCAGCTCTTCACAGGAGAGGTGCTGCAGCCCTTGGCTCACTCCCTGGCCCCACGGCAGCCATGGGGCAGCTCACCTGGGTGTCCACCAGCCAGCCGTGGTAGAGCGGGACGTTAAGGAGGTCAAAGACGATGCACTCAGGTGTGTACTCGAAGTCTGAGACCCCCGTGAACCTCACGTTGACGTCCAGCCCCGTCGAGAGCTTGGGGAGGACCATCATGGAGTCACTGATGTTCTGGGGGGCAAGACAGAAGGGGGTTTGCTTGGGAAGTGGGCTGGCACCCCAAGCCTTGCAGCCCAAAGCCCTCAGAGCTCCCCGAGCTGGAAGGGATCAGGTTTAGGGGCTGAGTTTGCTCCTCACCTGCTGGAAGTTGAGCTGCAGCCCCTCGGATGGCTCCCGGGGCTGGGTGGCCAAGATGCAGTCCCCTGCAAGGCAGCGTGGTGAGGCCCCGGTGAGCCCCGGTAACCACCGTGCTGGCAGCACGACAGGGACACCCCCGGGGCCCTCACCCAAATGTGCCATCAGCTCCTCGGCCGTGACCACCTCCTTCTGCGGGGGCAGCTTCACCTGGAAGCATGGAGAGGCTGAGGAGCATTCCCAGCCCCCTTCCCCTCATGATCCAGGGGGATTTGAGCCTGATCCCCCCCCCCAAACCCACCCCCCCTGCACCCCCCTTGCCTTCCACTGCAGGAGGAGGATGTTCATGATGGCCAGGAGCGGGCAGGGCCCGTTCTCACTCTGCATGATGACCGGTGTCCTCTCGCCCTTCCAGCTGATCCACTTCACGCAGTAGAATTCCTCCTCCGCTTCCCGACCCGGGGTCTGGATTTGGGGGGGCTCAGAGGGTAACCCCAGCGCTCCAGCACCGGGGCTGGGCACGGAGGGACCCAGCAGGGACCCCCCATCCTCCACATGCTGCGTCTCATCAGCATCCTCCTGCAGGTGCTCGATGGGGGGGAGATGTGGGGCACAAGACCCATCTGGTGCCGGGATCTCCTGGCTTCCAGTCTGCTTTTCATCCCCACCAGCAGCCTCCTCCAGGAGCTGGGGGGGCCCTTTCCCACTGGAAGGGGCTGGGAGCATCCCTTAGGTG